TCAACTCCACATGACACCTCTTTTTCTCCTTCTCTCTCCCTCTCTCCTACCCCCTTCCCCACCTTACTTCCCCTCCATCTTCAAGTTGCATTTAGCAAAATTACAGCCCTAGACATTTGGGGATACTCATTTCAAGCCAACATTTTCATTTGGAAAGCATTTTTTTTTCCAGATTCATTGGAGCTATTTTCTGAGAGTACAGTTTTGAGGCACTTAATGTGCAATTTTCTCTCTGTGTATTTGGTTGTTCCTACTGCAGTACTTCTCCTTGAAATGTCTTTTAAGTATCTTCAAGCATTTAATTCTTGGTAAATAAACTTTTATAAAAATTTTACACCATATGGAAATTCACATTCTAAAAGCAAGTTAATTAATTTCATACTGAATAAAATAATATTGTTAGAATAAGCCCAGTGTGTGGAAAGCATTGTTCCTGCTAGACCTTGGTTGCATTTGAACTGAGCATTGTTTCTGAGGCTTTTTACACTGGGGATTTCTGTCCATTCTGGTAAGAAAAAAATTAGCATCTGCAGATTAAATTCTCTTGCAGAGAGTAAATTCAGAAAACTAGTCTTTATCAGGGTGTCTTCTTTAACAGCTTAAAAAAATGTCCCCTTAAGAACCTCCCCTCCTATGAAATCTCTTGATTTCACAGAAAGCTGGGTTTATGAATAAATTGGGCCTTACCTCACTCTTGGCTGAATTGTGTACTGTGAGTTGGTCTAAATTCATTTTGCCTCCCAGTCAGTGTTATGATGCAAAAAGCAAGTTTACATTACAAAACTTTAGTAGCAACATGTACACGTTGCTTTTACCTTACAGTCAACATGGGGTTAAAGATCTCTTGGCTGCTTTAGAGTCCTGGATGATCAATGAATGTTTAAAGCAGAATTTTGTTTGCAAACAAATTTACCGAAGAGCAGATTCAACGTGACATAGGTGGAAAATAGAAAAATGAGCATGGAAGATCTTGTCCTGCTCTGTAGGTTCCAAAGATCTTTCCATTTTATATATCTGCTGTATTATTACATTTGGAAAAGAGCAGTAAATCATGTGCTCCCTGAGATTTTTTTGCTTTCTAATCTTTTCTGTTTTACTGGGGGCCTTGGATGGAGAGCTGTATCTTGGGTTTTCTTTCTTTTTTGATATATGTTTCTCTTTGTTAAAAATAGTTGACAAGAACTTCTGGTCTTTTCTGTTTTTGTTTTTATTGTTTGCATAGATTACAAAGGAAATTATTGAAAAGGTTCTGCTATTGTATTTTGGGAAGGACGGTCTTGCCAAAGTTATTAAAGTTGGGTTGGGTTGTTGCACTATGTTCTCCAGAAAGCTAACCGTTGAAACCTAACTGAAAACTGGATAGAGAGCAGACTGTTATTTTTTGTCAAGACACAGCGTCAGTGGTCTGTGATGTGCACTAGTTAGCAGCTGACTTCCAGATGAAATTTGAGATGTTATTTCGATTTAGCAATCTCTGACTTATTGGGATCCTTTTTTCCCCAAAGGGTTGCTTCCTCATATCTTCAAATAAGTACTACAGTTGTGATAACACAAAGTCTATTACCAGGTCTCATTTCCATGGTTTAAATGGAAACGGGTGGCAAGCTGTTATTTCTGGTGAGGATGGGGCTAGGGGTTTTCTAATTTGCTTTTTGCTGTGGTTCACAAGAGCCTGAACATGATGATTTTGCAAGGCCAGTTTGCCTCAGTGTGGTGCTTGAGTGTCATGGATTTTGCTGGGTGTGGGGGTGTGAAAGCTGGCAAACTCCTTTGGATTTATTTCATTTTGTGAAGATTTGCATCATCAAAAGATTTACACTGGTCTTTCAACGTAACAAGTTTGTGAGGAGAAAGGCAATGCAGGTCTAAGTCAACTATGAAATGCAGGGGTATCATTGGCAGTCGTGAACAGTGGTATTATTCCCTTGTTTTTCTGTGATCCCTTGCACCACTGATCCTCTGTGTATTTACAGGAAACAAACTGTCTTACATGCCTCTGCCTCTAGATTTCTTCTAAAAATATGGCTCTGATTCTGTGAATGACAGTCTGTGGAGTAGACTACCCTCAGGCAGCATGATAAAATACTGCACCTTTTTTGTTTCTGTTTATGCATCTTTTATTTTTTTTTTCTTTTGTATTTTACAGTTTTTTTGGGGGTGAAATTTCTTATCCATTCTAGATAAGAGAAGCACTTTGGTTGTTGTTGTTCCAGGAAAATTTTCAGTCATTTTTTATTATTATTAAATGATATTTGTTAGCCTTGTCTTGATCTGAGTGAAAACAAACAGTTTAAAAAGGTGAGCATTTGAATAAACTGGATGAAGTGATGACTGATATTCTTTGGTATTTCTTTACTGTATTTTGGTTTTACCTGTTGGTTGAAGTGTTTTGTTTTGTATGCAGCTAGGATTGCTTCAGGAAGTGGGTGGTGTTGGAAAGGTACTACATGTCCAGAGAAATGAAGTTGTTTTGGAACTTGAGAATTTCTTCATTTTAGCATTTTAATGTGCTTTTTAAAGTTAATTTAAAAGTTAGACTTTTATTTTTATTTCTTATTGATATGAATACTATTTTGGGAACCTTGTCTCATGTAACATGCATATTTGTAGCAGTTTTGAAGAAAATATTCACATTTATGAATATCTATGAGGTAGTCAGTCATGTATAACTACCAGAATAGTTTATTGATGGTAAAATTATACTGACAATTATCTTCCTGCTTGCTCTTTTACTTTAAATTGTAATATTTAAAATATTCTTGTAGTTATACACACCTAAGATATATTTTAAAAAATGTTTCATCTTGGTTAATTTAAAGTTGTACTAAAGGGATGGATTAAGTGATCTAGCTGCAGGCAAGAGGGAATGGGGCAGAGAAAATGAGAAACATCTCTGATTAGTGCTCAGTAGAAAAAAATAGTCAATTAAGTGAGGCACTGAGATAAAGCAAATTCAAAAGATGATTCAGACCTGGAGAAAAATAAGAAAACTATCTAGGTTTGGCAGGTTTGGAAAGGTAATTACATGTACCATATAGGTGTTGCATATATACTGATTTATTAATGATATATTTTTCACATTTTAACATCTTAAATAGGCAATGATTTATTATTATTATTATTATTATTATTATTATTATTATTATTATTATTATTATTATTATTATTATTATTATTATTATTACTATTATTATTATTATTGTTATTGTTATTATTATTATTTCCTGCCTACTTTGGTATACTCTTGTTGTCAGATTCTGAGATTTTCTGGTTTTCCCACATCACTAAAAACCAGGGTTGTGCCACATCAGCATTTCCGCATTTGCAGTTTCTTCCATCTTGCACAGGTCCTAAGGAAAACAAAAAATGTTAAAATGAATTTCCAAAAGTAGCTGGTATGTTAAAGAACTTTTGGTTTTAAAAATGTGGATTTTCTGAATGATGCCAGTAAAAGATTGTGCTGTCTAACATGGCACAGCCGTTTGTTTCTCCAATAACTGCTATTCATGAAAAACTGTTCAATGCAAGTATATCATATTTTGGGACAGAGAGTATATATATACAAAGTTTTCAGAGGATGGCTGGAAGCTCACATGAGATCATATGGGTGGCTTTGTCTGGTATAAAGCTTTCAGGAGACAGACTGTAGCAGGAGGTTTTGGGAAATTTTGCCTAGATGAAAGAGAACGGTTTAGTGTAAGAGTCATCAGAAAGCTGTAGGGGAGTATTAGTTTGGAGCAGGAGGTGCTGTTGGTGCCAGATGCCTCAGTTCATCAAAACACAGGAAGTTTTGCTGCACTGAAGAAGGTAATATGGCAAATTTAAGTATATGTGTATAAATCTGAAGTAGAGCCCTGTTTTCCTAGTTCAAAATCATGTTTGAGAAAAGATTGGAACCAAGGGGAGATACTAACTAGCAATTAAAACATTCATGATAAGTGGGTAATTACTGTAAACAGTAGGATTCTTCATGCTTTAACTGGTATGAGATTGTCAGATGCAAATGGATTTGTGTCTTGGACAATTTGTAGCGCAGACTCTTACTGCAAAGCATGTCATGTGAGAGCTGCTTACCTTCCAGGAGCAATCTCAGAGATCACTGCTGTTCCTCTTGGTAATTTCACATCCTCTCATCTCACTGTCCTGTTTACCAAGCCTGCAGCAACTACCTGTAATAACTTCTTACCAGATATGAATTCGTTGCCTATTCATGCTATAGATTTGTTCAGTTTTCATTCAGCGTTTCACATACTGCACATGTGGCTCTGTATATTACTAGAACAGAAATTCTTTGGCAAGAGCTTTTAATGTCTTCTGACTTTTCTTGTGGAAAAAACACTTCTTCATTTTTATATAAATTGCCTTATAATGAGAACAGGAATTATTTTATATGTTTGACAATATAAGGAAAGTTTTGATTTCTAATTGGGCAATAAGCCTTGAAAATAGCCTTGCAAAAGTGACTTGCAAATTGTGCTGCAAATATTAGGCAATTTTTGCTTTAGATTCTCAGACTCATTACTGCTACTGCAGACATGCTGAACCCTTGGGACAGGAGCAGGTACACATATTATTATTATTATTATTATTATTATTATTATTATTATTATTATTATTGTTTGTTTTCAATTTTTGGTGGGATGGTGGTGCTTTTGTAATATCCTGAGTATAACTGATTACTTTATCAAATAGCTTTTTTTTTTTTTTTTTTTTTTTTTAAGGTACAGTGCCTAGTAACACTTTGATATGTGAGAAATTTCTCTGTATCATATTAGTTCTTCACCTTTCCAATTAGAATAGAAAAGAAAGAGATACAAGGTCTTTTTTTTTTTTCTTTTTTCTTTTGGGGGGGAGTGGGGTGGGATGATCTCTTGTTTCAAAATTAGATGCACTCTTCTTTCTTCCTTGGTCTTTAGGAGTGGATGAGACCTAACAATGCTGAAAAAGTTTTTTTTTTTTGTTTTGTTTTGTTTTGTTTTGTTTTGTTTTGTTTTTAACAGGCCAAGCTCTGATAGCAGGCGTCACAGCATCCGAGAGAGGATGTCCAGTACAAATGAGAAAGGGAGCCTATCCATGGAGTCCACCAAGGAGACCCGGTACTGTGCTGTGTGCAACGACTATGCTTCAGGCTACCATTATGGGGTCTGGTCTTGTGAGGGCTGCAAAGCTTTTTTCAAAAGGAGTATTCAAGGTAATAAGCTGTTCAAGTGAGTCACCTTAACTGTTTACTCCTGAGGAAGCTAGCTGAGATTGCAGCCTGAGCCCAGGACAATGACATTTATTGGATTTTCATTAGGAGCTATTGTGTTCTCCCATATGTGTTTTGCTCTGTATTTGGTGAACGTTTCTAACAGTTATATATTATGTTGTTATGTAGCCCAAGATTAATGAGGGAAGATTAAAGCTTCTGTGCATTCATCTTGGTTTCTGTACGTCTGACTATGGAGGTAGTGAGATTTAATTTAAAAATCCATATTGGATCAAGAAGATCACTCTTTCAGTCTATGTATATCTCTTTTCTGTGATTAAGTTCCTAACGAAACTTTTTTTTTTTTTTTTTTTTTTTTTTTGGAATTCCTTGTCAGATGAAGATTAATTTGTGTTGGTTGATTTCTTGATCTTAATTCGATGTTCCATTAGCAAAATGCTTCAATCCAAACCTCAGCCACTTGCAGATCTGAGATGTCTTTTGAGACCCAATTTTGAAAAGGAATGTATCCTTGAAGAAATAATATTTGCATCTCCCAGTAAAGCAGGGCTTTGAACTATACACAGAATGATATAGTTTGCAGCCTTGCCATGGCTAAAAGAGTTCTGTGTAAAATGTCCACTGGATTAAAGGGCATTGAACAGAAACATCGTTAATTACTGTGACTAAGATAATTCTTGATTAAAATCCCTGGCATCTATGGAATGGCTATTTTTTTTGCTTTGTTCAACACAACTGAGTAAGAACAAAGTGTGATTCTACTGAATATCCTATGCAGTATCTAAGTGTTACTGTGACGATAAATATAAAACAATTTTCTTCCTTTCCAAATAAAAAGAAAACTAGCAAAGTGCTGTGCTTTTGTTAGGTTTCTATAGTTTTTTTCCATTCCCAGGTGATATACACATAGAGAAATTCCTGTAGCTCTTTTTTTGAAGTAAACATAGCAAAAAACAGTTTTTACCTTATATCACTAGGTGGGATTATTGCCTGTTTTGTACAAAGACTACCACCGAGTTGGGTTAAATAAGACTTCCAGCATTCAGCTCAAGAACTTTTCCAAGCTTATTGAAAAAAGTGAAAGATTGGCTGCAGGGTAGACATTGATGAAATGATTTGAATGTCAGTGATTAGTTAATAGTTACTTGTATTTCTGCTTTTCCAAATTCATCTAAGTGATTTGTAGGAAAGAGTGGTTACAGCCAGAGGTCAATAATAAGCCAGACCAGAGGGAGAAAGATGAAATGCTTTTCACTTAACATCAGAATGACATATTTAAACCTGTGAGGTAGGGACAACGGTTCCTTTAGTTGAGTGCTTTTTCATTTTAAGTCCTCTGACTGAATCAGAATTATTTCTAGAATTTTGGAATTCTGTACTTGAACTCGAATTGAACTAAGTCATCTTACCCAAAACACCTTCTTTTTAAACAGTTCTGTCTTCTTTCCTAGCTTCTATTTGTCATTTAGATCAATAGCAAGTAGACAGAATAAACTGCTTAATTTTGTGCCAGTGTAACTTGCTTGTGGGTGACCCATCAATAAAACAAAATTGAGTATTCTTATGTAAAGGTAAGAGTTAGTTATCAAATAACTGTGTGGAACAGATCTTCAGCTTTTGGCCTTTACAGATGAAGAAATGAGACTGCTTCACTGAGTTCCATAGCTCTACTTAAAAATTTTGGGTGATTCTTTCCTAGTGTCTATGTCTCTATGTGAATAAATCTTACAGTCCTCAACAACAGATCTGTTATCTGTTTGTGCTACAGTACATGCTAATTTGTAAATTTAGTTCTTGCTTCATTTACATGCTTTTATAATTTTTAAGTAGGCAGGCTTTAAAAATGTAAAGCTTAAATTTTCAGTGTCCCATAAAATGCTTTTCTTAATTATTAACTTATGCTTGCTCTAATTTAAGCCCATTCCTTCTTGCCTTATTCCTCATGAGCATGAAGAAAGTTTATTGCTACAACCTTTTACATAGTTGAAAAGTGTTATCATATCTTTTCTCAGTCTTCTAAGTCTTCATCTTTTTTTTTTTTTTTTTTTTTTTAGACTAAACAAACACAATTCTTTTTGCAGAACACGTTTTCTAGACTTGTCCCATTTGTTATGCTCCTCTGAACTTTCTCTAGTCGATCGACATCTTTTTTTTGACAGCAGCTATCGTAAGAAATGTCATCCACTGATATCAAGACAATCATCCAAGGATTTGAATACTTGTGAGAGAATTGTGATCTTTTGATCACAGATGGTATAAAAAACCCTCTAAAGGGATTTTAAAGTCATAGGTTCCCAGTCCTGATGAACTAAGGGAGTTTAGGAATTTCCTACATTATTTGGAAAAGATGTCTACTTTGGCAATTACATATTCTCATTGGACATGTATCCAATTTACAGGAATGTCAGTAATCTTTAGACTGCACATACGTGCAAAAACATGCCATTTACCTTTGAGATGATAATAATTTTAAAGAGATTGTGATTGGATATCTAGGAACAAATATTACTAATTTGTAGAAGAATATGTGGAGTAAATTTTTTATCTCTGTTGTATATATGACATATATTCCTAAAAAAGGGGAAAGAATTTTCTGGGAATCATATGATTTAACTGTATTGAGACAAATCGGACTTTTTTGTTGTTGTTGTTAATAAACAAAAGCAATATAGTACTTTTTGGGCAATTATTATTATTATTATTATTATTATTATTATTTGTATACAGAATGTGTAGAATGTCTTTAAATGCCAAAGAACCATGTTACTTTTGTTCTTTACTGTCCTGTATTTTCCAATATATGTATAGATACAGAGTAGACTGGCTATTTTTATGTTTCACATAGAGATTTCATAGGAGAATTGCCATAATGAAGATGGATGTTCTTAATACATTGTAGTCAAAACTACTATATGGTTCTTAATAGAACCACAGGAAAAAGTGAGTACAGACATGAATGAGCTGTATGGGGTAATCTGTTTTCCTCACTGTGTAATGTTATCTTCAGTGGTATGTTTGGCTTACCTATTTGCATAAATAACTACTAAAATTTTGTGAAAACTCATATCTACATTGGACCTTGCCAGAAATGGAGATGGATAGCTTCATTTTTATTTGTATCCAGAGGGTTTGGAATGGTTCTGGAGATATTTTGTGAATTTTAAATACTTTTTTTTTTTTTTCCCCAACAGTTAATGCTTAGAAGGCAACCTGAATTAGTACTTGTCTCTCAACTGTCTCTCAATATTTGCAACTATTCAATTTTCTTTAAATAGCAGATGGTTGGTGAAAATCTCAACTGCCTCCTGAAATTTCCAGTGTCAGTCCATTTTGTTAGTTTATGTCACAAAAGTGATTTGGGACTTTGTTTTGAGAAAACACAATGCAGACTGATATTAATGTATAAAGTTTTATGTGAGGAAAAAATTATATGACACCAAGAACATTGTGTTGCTTGGTGATAGAAGAGTGCTTTATTCTTTGCCCAGCATATGTAGCCTTCTGAAATGTACTTGGTCAACTGACTTGAATCCAGAGGCATAACGAGCAGTCACATCACAGCACGCTGTACTTCTCTATTAAAATATTTATGGATTTTAAGATCAAAAGGGGCCATTAGTTCATTAAGTCTGGTCTCTTCTCAATATAAACTTTATATGCTATCTATGTGCAGAGCCCAGTAGCTTGATGGAAGTAAATCTTGATCTGTCAGCTCAGGAGCTTTTGTATGATGATTGTTTATTCTAATAAACACCTGCTAAAAAAAATCTATTTAACTTGAATTACTTTGGCTTTTATATCACATCCACAGACTAGTCTTAGTACCTAGTATCTCATCCCTGTGGGAGGTTCTTACAACTTAAGTTGTTACAGTCAAATTACCTTGCTACCTTAAGTAAACAGAAGTGCTTGAGTCACTCACTGTATATCTTTCTATTTTCTGAATCAATTCCTTTGTCTTTAGACTTTTTCTAATTCCCCCATAATAGCCTCTTTAAAATCTAGATATCAGAATTGGATGAATTGTTTCAAGATCAGCCTTACAAATGCCATTTACAAATTAAAAATCCCCTTGTGACTCACACATTCTTTTCCCCTCCTTCTAATTCTATCGTTATTTAGATAGCCACCAAAGGGACAGGAAAAAATTAATCTTAACATTTCTGACTAGTATTCAACAAATGCCTGTATTTAAGGGACTAAGAACCTGCCATGGGGGAAAAGGAATTTGGAAAACTGAGAGGTAACTCTACATTGAAGGATATATTGATTTGAGAACTGTCAAAGTATTCTAGAAATCCCCATTTGTATTTTCCTGTTTCTGTCATAAGGTCTTCTGTTTTTCTTTTTTTTTTTTTTTCAGGTGCGCCTTCTCTGCCTTTTCCTCACAGATGTATATTCAGACAAAAATCTGGAAAGTTTCACAAATATTCAGTTAAGAATTACTGCTTGATGCAAAGCATCAAGCAAGAATAGGCTGGCAAATGAGAATGTATGAATTGCCATGCTGAGGAATTGCAGAGGATTGCCATTAGTGTCTTGAATCACAGAGATATAGTTGTCTTTGAAGTGCAGGAATTCTTGAAGCTGGGAAGTATTTTAGTTGTGTGTCTTGAACATCAATTGTAGTTAACTGTTATGCCTTGTGAACATCAAGTAGGAGAGTTTTGGCAGTAGTCTAGGAGTGTTATCAATTGTTTTAACTTCACAGTGATAGAGCTGTGCTCTATTCAAAGTATGTAGTTCAAATTTTAGTGCTAGGAGTGGTAGTAAGGCACACATATTTTCATCTGAGTTGGGGAGAAGACTTTCTCTGGTAAAGCATGCGTAATAAGTGTATGGTTAAGTAATGCTGCGGTGCAGCAACTGACATATTGCCAGTTTGAGGAGGGTGTTCTGAAATCTTCCCTATAACTTTCTATTATTACGTTCTGTTTTCATGGTATTTTTGTTATCTGCTTGATAACAGTTGCAAATTCTGT